GGCGGCAAATTCAAGCGTGGCGCGAGATCGTATTTGGAATGTTGTCAAATTTTGATACAACATTAGTAGTTTTAAAGCCAGGTTTAAAACCTCGTTTAAGAATATTTATAATTAATTACTCGGAAACCTTTTAATGGAACAAACAGTTAAATGTAAGCTAAGTGCAGCCGAATACGACTCTAAAGATAAAATCAGAGAGAGAACAATAGAGGGACTCCAGGCGTTTCTATGACAACATCAGATGACCCTGTCCCTCTGCCAACCCAACATGTAATTTTGTTACAAAGGTACTCAGTAAACTCCTTGGTCCTTTGTCCCTGTAAGTGATGGTTAAAGTCCCTCTGTTATCCTCTCTCTAGGCAAAGAATCTATCTTTGCTCTAAGTGGGTATATTCGTGGCCTCGAGATTAGATGGCCTGGTCAGCTGCAAATCACGGATTGACGTCACGTAAGGCGTCTGAACTTTCACCCTTCGCACTGCAAGCGAAGACTTCTTATACGTTGATTGCGTGCTGTATATTTTATTATCATGTCTTTTTTATTGCAAATTTAAGTATGTTGTTAAGGGTATTTCGTTTTTAAATGAGATTACTAGTTAACTTATTTATTAACAAATAACGATCGACGTTCTAGGTAGAGCTGTCTTATCGTGCCTGCAGATGTTGCGTCCAGCAGCAAATCCAATACGAGGCACTAATGAAATATGTATCAGTATTCAAATTCCAAAAGATCAGAAAACGGGAGGTATGATCAAAAAAATAAGGAAAAATTTTATTTCAAGTGATCCAGATGATTCAATTGAAAAACATTTCGAAAGATGATATTATTCGCTATGATTATTTACCGCAACGAAGGTACTTTTTTCAGAGTGTCCATTCTAAATTCTTCCCAGCATTTTTCTCGTTGTCCAAAAATATTTGAAAGTCCAACCCCTCAGAGTGAAAAAAGGGAAAAAAGAGCTAAGATGGAGAAGCATATTTTTAATGAATTTTGAGAAAGGACAAAATAGCATCATTTGAGGATTTTCTTCTATGTTACAAATAAATTAAATTTCAGATACTTCAAATATTATTTTACCAAATCTGTTGCTGGTATATATTTTATGCTCATTTTCTCCATATCTAAATTGAAAAAATATCTTTGTATCGCTTCATATAGATATAGCAGTTTATCTAGGAGATAAAGTTGTTCCAGTTGAAAGTAAAGAACCAGTAAAGAAGTTGAACAGCATTCTTTATGGTCAAACTTACCGAGATATATGTTCAAAACATTAAATGTTTGATGTTCATGAAACTTGTTTAATGTGTGGATTCCTTTTTAGCAGATTAAAAAAAAATAATGAGCACGTTCAATATTTGTTTAAACAATTATCTAAAGTCTTCAAAATAATATGCATACAAAATCGATTGAAAGGAAACTTAAAAAAATCAGAATAGTGATGAAAAGATATGAGTATGTAAATGACATTGTTTTATTTTTAAAAATAGTGTACTAAATATGATGCAGTTCAAATATTTTCAATAAGTATCTTTTACATTAAATTTATTAATCCTTTTGCTGTTTCCTTATTATTGATAATACTTCATAATTTTCAAATAACTTATCAAATTGCGATTAATTATTGCTTCAGTATACTAGTACAACTGCACAGTATTTCCTAATAGACGAAATCATGGTTTGTTCTATGTATAGTTGTTTTGAGGTTTTCGTTGGCAAATTTATTGATTTACGCTGTGAAAACTTATATGGATGGCTTTTATTTTTAAATATATTATTTATTATGCATCTACATATAAACTAATAAGTAATATTATTAAATGATGTAAATATCCTTATAATTATTGCTATAAATAACATATATATGTGAAAATTATTCGTTTCTGTAATGTTGCAGCAAAATTGTAATTTATTTAATTACAAAGGTTGAGATTAAATTTTTTCTGTGGCTTTTCTGTTCATTTTATTAGATAGTAATTTAAAATGAATTAAAAATACATTTGCATAATGTTTGGAAGCTCTGAAATATTTTAGTTTTAAGGAAAAAATTTTTTATGTCTTTTAATTTGCTAAATTATATTACTTTTGTAGTGAATTATTTATATTTCTAACTTTTCATTCCATTCTTTCTCTCTTCTCAAACTGTAAAGACATTTTTATGTTAATAAATAACAGCCTTTTTATTTACTTATTCAATACTTTCTTTTTTGAGTGTATTCTAACAAATTATTACATACATTGTAAAAAAAAAATGCACAAGATAACCTAAAACATGGCATAGAATATTCGTGAATATTTCTTAAAAAATAATATTTATTAAGTTATTAATCTAACTGCAAATGAATATACGACCTTTATATACGTTTTTCAAGGTCTCTGGAAATTTATTATTATGCATTATTAAAACAAAACACTCTAAACATCGACGAACGCTCGCATTCAAATCTGAAGCAAAGAAAGTCACTGAAGAATCGGACGCCTTTCGTGACGTCACTCGTAGCTAACCAGGCCATGTTATCTCGAAGGCCACGGTATATTCAAGTGAGAAACAGAACAATAGCATAGAGGGCTTTGTTTTCATACAGACGCCTCTTGCGAAATAAACGGGGAAGCGTTGTAAATTGTGACCCTTTCCTAATACCCAATACAAATTAACCTTGGACCAATCTGGACCAACGAAATAATTCAAATTAACGTACGTCGAGAATGCACAGCAAAAATGAAGTAAAGCATTTTGACTTTTTTTGCAGCTAGTCGGCAACTTAGGTGTTAAAAAGGGATTTATTATTTTTAGATTTTTTTTTAGTTTAAAGGGTTTTTTTTTTTTTTCATTATCTTTTAATATGCCTGCTTCCAGTATTCTTCACTATATTTAGCGAGACGCAGCCATGTAGTTAGCGCGCGCATCCGCGATGCGGCCCTAAGTCTGTTGAGTGTAATTACGTCAATTTTTAGCTTTTCTTATTAAGGCAAGTTATACTGTTTAGGGTAAAAGAAATAGTAAGAGCGTCTAAAAAAACTTTCAGAGGCAGAATATATTAGAAAAAGAGCAAACGATAGGACCGAACAGAGAAAACAAATTGCAGCTAAAATGAAAAAACGGTTTCACGGAAAAGACGAACCGCCAAACCCTGCCGCAACTTTCGATGGCGCTGAGATTCTAAAGGATATTGATATTTCTTGCAACTTGAATGACCAAAATGAAGAATCTTCATCTATCATCCTCAAACACATTATACTTCAGGAAACGAGAGAGCAACCTTCTTCATCGATCTCAAACGAACATCTAGAGGACATGAAATTAGGATATAAAGTATTTTCTCATTTATGTGCGTATGGGCAGCAGAAAGGAGACTTATAAACTTTTGATTTGTCGTACCTAGAGGTAGTTGGCCAATCACAGAAAAAAATTAACGGTCTTTCTTAAGCAGTCAAGCTGTATTATTAGCCGAAAAACATCCAGAAAACGTAGACCTTAGGTCCACTGAACGTAGTGAAAGCATTTGACATCTTCAGTAACAAATACTGAAAAGATTAACAGATTTTGGCTTATATATTCTAAAACTAAAAAGGCAATTTTTGTACACCCTGTGAGATTTACCAGAAACATGCCATTGCCGCTACATCAGCTCTGTGTACTGCAGGATTCTTTATTGGAAAAAGCTTCAGAAAGGTTAATTGAGCACGAAGCATCTGAAATCCCCAGAAAGTGCACGATTAAGTGGAAAATTCGACTATAACAAATGAAATCATGTCAATCCATCGATTGCATTAAGCGAAAAATTCACACAGAGAAAGAAAAATGGAGAGAGATCCTACAGGTAGTTAGGGATGCTGTACTGTATCCTTCAACAAACTGTCTTTCTTTCCGTGGATCTGATGAAACCCCTAGCAATCTGCTCACAAAGTGTCCTCGGCCTAGTCAAGGCAATTTTTTTGAATTTAATGACTGCTTGCCAAACATAACTCAACTCTTAAGTATCAGTTGGAACACCTAAAAAAGGGACAAGTATCATATTTAACAAAGATAATTCAAAATAAAATTACTGACATAATGGCGAAAACAGTTTGCAATAGCACTTTAAACGATATTAAAGAAGCCAAATTTTATACAATAATGTTCGATTGCATTTCAGAGTCGCATACAGAACAAATGAGCCAGGTGACTCGATACTTAAACAAATATGTGGTGATGTGTGGGAAATAAAGGAGAGCTTTTATTGATTTCATAGAAGCTGGTGGAAAGACAGGAGAATGCATTTCTCAACGGATTGTGGGAAAACTTACATTTGATGTTAAGACATAATAATACGCCGAACAATAAGAACAAAATTTAAGACGTCATTTGCCCTTTCGATAAATAAGACGTCATTTGCGCTTTTGCAGCTGAGGATGATGGTTCGGTAAAACCATCGAAACTAGTTCTGTGAAAATTTGAAAATATAACTCTGATTTTTGTTGTTTGACTTCTGAATTAGTAAATGACACTTGATGATTTGGGATATTGGACAATGTGGTGGTCAATCTGACGATAACGGACCTAATATGGCCGGTACTTATAAAGCAGTACAAGCCAGGATTACAGAAACGAATAAGCTGGCCGAATATGCGCTATGTTTGGCTCACTCTTTGAGTCTTGTCGGTGTGCATTCTGCCTCATTCTGCCCCGAAGCAGTTAACTTATTTGGAATTATCCAGGAGATATTTAGCTTTTTTTTCCAGATCCACTATTCAATGGGATATTACGAAAAGATGTACAAAAACCGAATTAAAAGGAAGCAGCCAGACGAGATGGTCGGCAAAATATGCGGCTGTGAAAGCCCTACTTACGAATTTACCAGAAGTAGTAAAATCCCTGAAAGAAACCTTTCTCTTAGTGCGGAATCAAAGTACGAAGCAGGACATCTGCTACATGTTGTAAAAAATTTTGAATTTATTATCAACCTGACAATTTGGGCTAATATTCTTCGAGAAATCAATAATTTTAGGATCTACTCTAGTTTATGTGGAACAAAAGAGAAATACTTTATACTATAACTCCAGAATGTAATGATAATGTACATTCAGAATAGCTGACAATATTATTTGAAATTGCTGAATGATATACTTACAAACATATTACAGTAATAGGCAGTTTACATTGCGATGGATTTACTTTCTTTAATACTGACAGCAGAGAAGAAGTATCAGAAGGCAAATTATCAGTAACTGGCCAGTTAAGTACTTGAAAAATATTCACAGGTAGTGGCTCTTTCTCTTCCTGTAAAAAATAATAAAATTTAATAAATTTAGATTTAAATGTGCATTTCATTTCACAATTATCTAATAAATGATAAGTTAAAAATATCTGTTAAAACTTTATTCAGCTTATAATTGATATAAAATGGAAGTAATATATTTAAACAATAAATAAATGCACTGAATATGTATTTAATTTATTCCTTTGAAGTATATAACTTTCTGTGTTGAGGAGAATGTGTATTAAGAAAGTCTTTTTAGGTGAATAATATGACTCCTGTTCGCATTATGCATGTAATAGAACTATTAATGCATCATGTAATTAAACTCATTTCACATAGAATAGAAGCATTATGAACTTATCAGTTTTTGCTATTGCGTTGTATCTGCTGTTGGTGGAAGAGCCATTGGTAGGGAATTCATTATTTCAAAATTAAAAAAAATTATTTTTCACTATCCTATACTAAAAAGACACATTTTATCTAAATGACGTAGTAATTATATTTTGCTAGCTGATAAATTAGAGAAAAATAAACTGAAAAGCTATGAACAAGTTATTTAAAATTTGATTTTGCTTACCTTGCTTTAGAGGGCAGGGGAAAGAGACTTATAATTAAAAACATATCTTTTGCCTATGGCTATTTCTAACGTAGAATTGTGAAATTAAAATGTTAAGAAAAACCAAACGTAGAAGTACAAGCCTAGAAGTATAAAACTAACCTAGAAAACCTAGAAGTATAAAAACAATAAATATTATTTTAAATAATGAATAAATTGAGACCAAAGCTTGAGCTAAACAATGTGCTAAAAGTTGCACTAAAAATAGTAGGAATAATTAAAATGAAGCTTTTTTTTTTTTTTTTTTTTTTTTTTGGAATAAGAACTAAATCTTTATATACAAAGAAAGGCACGGGAATACAAAATTATTCTTAAAAAAAATCTATATTTTAGCCATACAGGGTTTGGACTGTTTTAACTGGAGTCTCTGACTTCACTTGGGAGTTTCAGGCAATAGCGGAACTTGAAATGTAAAAATCCCTTCCCATTTCTGAGCAGGCAAAAGAATTCGTTAATTTCTGTGACTCAAAGGCAGCTAGCTCTATAGGCAATTCTGGATGGGAACGCCCTGATTACCTACGGGATCCTTTTTCGTCTGAACGAGCTTCAAAAGTTGGATAAGGTCTGCATTCTTCAATGGTTGCTAGTGCATGTTAGCATCATTGGTAATGAGAACGCAAATAAACTGGCAAAAGAAGTTCGAAATCTCAACAATACTAACATAGACGTCACCCTCTCAGACGCAAATGCCATAGCCAAATACAGATTGAAGGATCATTTATTTCTGATAAAACCATAACATCATCCATAATATCAACGGGGATCGCTGCTTATAACAAACTATAGTCAGGCTTAGAACGGCCTGCAAAGAGGATTGAAAATTGACAGAAAGGGTAGGTAAACCTACAGATACTGTGTCATAACTGCCCGGACACAAAATTGACAAATGCGCACATTTTTTATTGTCCGCAATTCTTGCAGAATTTGTAAAAATTTGGGTCTTGTTTAAGAGACTGAACCTCTGCAAGCATAATATTTTGCAGATTTTCAGGGTTGTCATCTTCGCCCATGGCACTATTTGAATAGGCTTTATCATAGACACAACATAAACTGCTACATTAGTGAGTAACTAATTTCTTCATTTGAAAAATTGTATACACTTGTGGGCTTTCACTTTTAGCTGTGTCAAATTGTTCATTATGTAGTTCGATAACAGGGCTGTACCCCTTCAATACCATGGTTGATATTATTTCATGATAACAAGCCTCTTAAAAGATGTGTATTACGTAATATCTCGTTTTATTTTTTTCAACTATTTTAGATACTGTGTTTTCTTGTACTTTTATATACAGATTTCCTCTTTGATTTTCCCTGCCCATTTTGCACTATCAAATTTTAGATGTTCTGAAAAGATTGTAAAAATTTTTCATCATTGGATAAAAATAAATACAAGTTGAATACAAGTTTTCTTATGCAATTTTTACTTCATATGTTAGACCATATGAATATAGTCGATATTTGTCAAAATTATACAGGTTCATTAAATAATTCATACACATAATTAACAAAACTTATTCACAGGACATTCATATTAGTATTTTCTTACTAAAACCAAATTTAAAAATCAGCCAGGTTTCCAGTCTGTATTGTGCTAGTTTGTAAATCATGAAGCTAGTTTTCATTTATTTATACAATTTGGTGATGTAGGGCGTCAGTTTACAGAGATGTACAACAACAGAGAAAACGTTTCTTTCCTTATATTAATTTAAAAATTAAACTGCATAAGAAGTAGAAATTAAAAATAGCAATTTCTGTTGTTTTGAAAATTCTCATTTCTTTTTAAAAATAAGTAACTATTTAATTTAGATAGTTTTATGCAATATTTATTTAACTAATTGTGTGCCCTCAATATGTAATTAAGAATATATTGTTGGAATAAAAAAGGATGTTTTTTATATTAAAGTTTTAAATACATAATTTTTTAATTTTTAAAACAAAAATACAAAATATTTCTTACCATCTCACTTGGAATTCTCAAGTATAGTTCTCTAACTATTGTATTATCTTCTGTTTTTACACTCTGGCATTCAACTTGAAGGTTGCCAAAAACTTCCAGATCAGAAGATGGCCATAGTTGTGGATTTTTCTATAATAAATATTATATATGAAAAACGGCATATGGAATAAAAGTAATAAGTACAGTGTATGTGAAGATCTAATACTCATTTATACACATATAATTATTAGAAAATATAATTCTGCTGATATTATTTACATGTTGAAAATGAATATTTTTAAAAATATATATATGATTAAAAACTTAGCTATAATCAGATAGTTAACTATTTACATGTATGATCCTTATTTCAAGAAGATAAAGCAAGTAGATAATTTATATTGATTCAACAATAACGGCTCTCTGCCTTGGAAACGGATGCTTTCAAAGGCATTTACAAAGGAAACTTGTTCATATTGAAAAATATTGTTGCGTGGGTTCGTAATAGATTGAATGCCCACAGCTTCGATGATAGGTTGATAAAATTTATCAACATTTTCATTTAAGCATGATTCCTTGAAAGAAATTCATTAGAGAGATATTTCTCATTCAATTAATTGAGTTCTCACTTCGCGGCAAGGCAAGTATACATAAAACCTCAAAATATCTTCATTAAAAATTGGAAAATACAGAAAAGCCTAAAACACTAAATACAGTTAAAACTATTTTAAAAAAACAATTTTTACAATTAAAATTAGAGTTTCTATGCAAAAGCAAGCAATTCAGCCAGCGGATAAGAAGGCAGATTTTTCGGTGCACAAAACTGAAAGATTACTTTTGTTCCCACTCGACAAAAAGGCACTGAAGCTGCAGAAACATTCTTAATTCTATTCTGCTAAGTTTCAAAAGTAAACGAATATGGTTGTTGTAGTAAGAAAAATTAGGCTTAGCTGCACTGAAACCACTTTTAAATTATTGATAATACTACAACTATTGCATGAAGATTAACTAAAGCCATAAAAACTTTAATCGGAAAATAAGAATAACATAATTCAATTATTTTGAAAGAAAATCTGCACAATTTACCAACATATAAAAATAAAAATAAAATAAAAAAATAAAAAAAAAACTGAGGTCTCTGTGCCGAGTAACAGAGTGGGTATATATGTATATATATATACTTATGGTACGGCTGATTGCAACCAAAAAGGAAGGTGCACAACTACATGTTATAGCAGTTCTATATAGAAAATTTCAACCTTCTGAGGCTAATTGTTTTTTAGCTATACAAGATACACACATTCATACGCACCTACGACGTACAGGCGTCATTAAAAAATATTTTCTGAATCCATTTTAAGTCAACTTTATAATTGCTTTGGGAAAAAGATTCCTTTATTCTGTCCTTACTTTCACGAAAACATCGTTAAATTGCGTTCGATGGCGGTCAAAATGGATATTTTCGTTGAAATATGATACCCGGAATTTTTCGTGATTGCAATACTTCCTTTACTTCGTACAAGGAGGTAAAAAGGCATAAATTTTCCATTTTGTGTTTTGCCAGATAACAGGGTAATCATAATATGAAACTGTATTTTGGAAAAATAATTTTTGGAAGTGCGACATTAAAGCATGCTAACAACAAACTGCAATTTTTGTTGATTTCGTAATTTGTTGGAAATTATTATTATTATTATGATGATGATTTGAGTTTGACATTGCCAAAACATAAATAGTTTCATCATTTAAAACACTTCTGTAATTAGAAGTGTATGACTATGACCGACAACTTCGAAAATTAAGGTTAAGGATTTTTAAGTTGGGTAAGGAAGTGGGTATGTATGTGAAATAAAAAAAGGAAGGTGTACAACTAAATGTTATAGTAGTCCCATATACAAAATTGCAATGTTCTACGGCTAATCGTCTTTGAGTTGTGCGAGATACGTACACACAGACCTCACGAAAAAAATACCCCTTTGAATCCATTTTAAATATATTTTACAATCTGTTTTGCAAAAATCAAAGAGTCGAGTTCTTTATTTTGTCCTTACGTACAGACATCAGGCAAAGCAACGGTCGAAATGGATATTTCCATTAAAATATGATACCCGAAATTTTAAGCGATTATAATACTTTTACAGGTTACAAGGAAGTAAAAACGCATTTTTACCGAATCTTGGATATCAATGTCTTGTAAGAGTACAATAACAGTAGATTTTATTTCATAGATCATACTCCAAAAGTCAACAATTGTCTGAGGAAGAGGATATTGAGTAGCTATGTAAGCATTTTTCCATCTGTATCCCTAAAAATATAAAGATACAAATTTAACTACGATTAAAATGTGAGGAAATGGATGTAGTGTTTTAATTTCATAAACTAAAATCATATATAACTTATAAAACCAGACAAAAATTAATCTAAGATTGCTATTAGGAAAATAAAACTTATTAAAACCAGCTGTTACTTTAAAACTTAAATTTTAATCAATCTACATTTCATATTACACTACGCATTTCGTATAAAAGCAATTTTATTTTGCTCTTATACGAATTATTTTTATTTATTATATTTATAAGTTCTTCAGTAGATTTATTTTGTCTAATTTCCAAGTAGCCTAATTTTATCTAAAAGAGTTTTAAAAATTAATGTTTGCATATGCTCTATCAGATTAATACTTAGCCAGTAGTTCCAATATTCATGCTTAAAAACAACCTATTTTTATTGGCAGAAAATATGAAAAAAAAACTTTATATATTATTACTAATAAGCAAAACTGAAATATACTGGTCATTAAAATTAAAGTCTAATGAGAGAAATAAAACGTAACTGATACTTAATGAAAATCTAGAAATTTGTACAAAAGCATTCGTTAACAAAAATTACATTTGGCAACTGATTATTGGCAAAACACTGAAATTAAAACCGAATTTATGGAAACCGGAAAATGATGAAAAAATTAAGTCACCTCTTATGGAAAATATTTTTCTTTATGATGTATGGGCACCTCGGATAAATATGCATACTTTGATTACATACTGATACTTCACAACTCGATTACATAGACTTTACCGAAGTGTTGATCGCCCACCAGCGGCCGAGCGGTAAAGTCGCTGAACACTGGTAGTTCGGTCCGAGGTTCGAATTCCACGAACGGGGCTGGCTGCATGGGCGTTTTCGTAGTTTTCCCCATGTGTAATGTGTATACGAGCCAGTTTCCCTTAGAAAGTCCTCCACGAAGGCGTCCCTCCCTTTAGGCAGATAGCCCTCGTGTGCTTTGCCATAATTGAATTGAATAATCCAATCCAATCCAATCCGAAGTGTTGATCAAGTCTTGAGGAACTGCACGCCACTCTTGGGAGGAATTTGGCTACCTGAAATTCAAATCCTTACGGCATCCCAACTATGCTCAATTAGGTTAAAGAGAGGTGAGTAATGTGGCCAATTCAAGCGATTACATACTGATGTATCACTGTACTGATGTACACACTTGTACTGATTACAAGAGTAAGTATTTTGACACCACATATGCTTGATGAGGCCCAGAATTGTCCTCCATTAGTAAAATCTCTGGACCTAAACAGTCTAACTTGAGGTTCCAATAACTCGTCGACGTACCTCCGAGCGGTTACAGAACCTTCTTCAAGACGTGCAGCTCGGTGCGGCCATTTGTTATGATTCCTCCCCAAGCCATTAAACTGCGGTCCAGGAAATGGGATATTTCACAGACAAGTGAAGGCAAGCTGCGTGTTCCTTCCTCTCTCCAGATCAAAACACGTCCAGAATCACTGTTCAGACTATATCTGGACTAGTCAGTAAACAATACTCGCGCCCAGTCGTCTTGGCTGTGATGAACACGACGACGACACTAGTTTAAAAGGGCTCTTGTAGAAGTTGGAGGGAGTGCGACACAAACTATTGGTTTTCTCGGGCATACAATCCAATCTCATGAAGCCTTCGTGCAGCAGTAGAATGGCTAATTCAGATTTCTCTGGCAGCCTGAAGGTGTGAAAGTCGTCTGTGGTCGTTTCGTTGTTTCTTCTAGCCAACAGCGACAGAAAACGGTCATCTGATGCAGTTGTCGCTCTCGGTCACCCTTGACCAGACTATTTGTCAACTGATTAAGTAGTTAAAAAGGGGCTACAGACTCTTGATACGATACTTTGAAGGATATTCAAGCCTTCGACGACCTGCATTTGTCTTTGATCTCCCTCGATTCTACCAATTATTCGCCACTTTGACCTTCACTTAAATGATGCCTTTGAGCTATAACTACTGAATACTGATCACCCTCAGAAACTACATTCACTTTAAACAAGACTCCAGATCGGAATTCCAACATGTATCCATTGCATACCACATTGTCAATCACTGAATTTCCATATTTCCGGAGCTAACGTATGGGCGGAAGTGCAATTTTATGTTCAGTTGTATTTAATTAACATAAATAATTACAGCGTTGGGGATTGGTACCATATTTTTCCTCATTATCCTTTAATTTTGATGACCAGTGTATAATTGCCAAAATGGAAATAATATAATAAAAAAGAATGCAAGCTACAACTTTAGAAATTAAGTAAAATACATCCTGTATTCTAGAAATGTTGTACTTATAAATGGATATCTGTTTTCTTAAAAAACAAAAGCAGTTACTTAGTTAAATATTATGCTAATTTTAAAGTTAAATTTAAAACATATTCATAGATGTATTTGCTTTTATATATTGTATAATTTTGCAAAAGTTATGAATATGTTTTGATTCGTATTTGAAATTATCAGAGAAAATGAGTATATTTTAATGTTTTAATTATGCTGCTCTTCATTAAAATTGCAACAACAAGAAGCTAAAACTATAAGGTCATATAAATCAAGGGTGGGGAGATGGGGTGTATATGATATATCATATAACATAATGATGATAAATTTAATAATCAGTCAATAATTCCAACGGTAAATTTTTAAGCACCTAGTTCCAGAGTAAGAGTTCTACGCAAAAGCAGATTTAAAAGACTGATTAAATACAATTTTTTCCACCACACGAGATTTCACTTCTTGAGTTATGACTTGTAGTTTGGCAGGGTGATGCCTTATATTCATCAACAAGCTACTTACCACCACTTTTACAAAAGAGATGGGCAGAATCCTTAAATTTAGAGATGTTTATAGATTTAGAAGATAACTACATGTTTGGGGGGGGAACTATTTCAATGTTGTAAATACCAGTGATTGATAAAAAATAGACAGAACAGCAATTAATCATAGTAAGTACTGGGCAGAGGCTAACTTCTTAGATAAATTGCCAGATCAGAAGAATGGCATATGGTGATCCTTAGTCTACTACGAGTAGATATCCATCTCATGTACTAAGCCTAGAAAGTCCATCAATATCTACAAAACGTACCAGAAAGCAATTGCATAATATTGGGTTATGATTCAGATGACTAGCAACAGGTGTTCTACTGACACCAAGCTAGGTAGTGCCACCAGGTGGTAGCTAGAGGCTAAACTAGAGAACTATCTTCTTCAGTAAAGAGTCTCGCTTCTGCCTATGAAGCAATGATAGTCAGAGATTGGTTTGGAGACCATACGTTCAAATCATCAACAAGCCTTCATGACAGAATGTCTGCTCCTAGAATAATGATGTGGGGTGTCAAAATGTATGGCAGTTAGATCTCTCTAGTCTTCCTTTTTGGTACATTGACAGTTCAGTGCTATGTTGATTTGGTCATTCCTGCCAAGTATTCCAGGAATCGTTTTTCAATATACATGTCTCAGCTGCATATTTGTTCATGTTACAGTGTACTTGATGTGCTATCATGGCCTGCTGCACTTCCAGACTTGTCTCTCATTAAATGCATTTAGAACATCATTGGCTAGTTATTGCAAAAGGGAAAGCTACTGTCTATCTTAATGATTTATGCACCTGAGTTCTTGCATCATGGCAAAACATTCTTCAAACAGTGATTAATGATCTCAGTGGTAGCAGACCAGGGCATGCATGTGTGGGTATTTCTGTGCATGATGATCATACTTCATATTAAATAAACTGAGATGATCAGAGTGTTCTGTTTTGATTTTTGATCTCTTGCAAATGATTTTCAAATATTCACAAACTTTTCTTCTTGGTACTGCAAATTCAACGTTCAGCAGTGTATTTACTGAAGTAAAAAATGAATTACTATTCATGCATGTAATATTATAACATATATATATATACATATCATATGTATAATATCAGACATAATCATTTGTATAATATTAGAAACTAAAATTCTTCAGAAATGCTTACATCAACAAACACAGCATTTATGTAGCCTGAATTTTCATAATTTCTTGGTAAAAATGGGCGAGAGGAATCAGCTGAAAATTTCAAAGCATTATTTTATTTATAATAACAAATATTACAGACTTTGAAGGCGTATACTACATAAATGCTGTATGAAAAATTACAAATTGTGATCAGAACAAGAGAGTTATAATAAAACATTGGTATAAGAAATACATTTGTTATTGAAAAAAAAAGACTGCATAGTTAAATATCTCTTGAATTATGTCTTAAAACTATGGCTCCAGTTAAAACAATTAAATCAAATATAGCAAATTCATACTGCAGTTATTTTGGATATGTAACAGCATGTATTAATAATATATGAAATTTAAATGTCCTATGTATATATTTCTCCATGAAAAATGTTTTTAAAGTAATTATTCAGCTAGAGATCTTTCGGAAAGAAGAGTGTACAATGAACAAAATTGATCCTGAAAAATTAGATTACTTAAACCACTTTCACTCAATGGAAAAATCGTCGCTTTTATCGGAACATAAACATTGGATTTGTTGAATTACAAAATTTTGAATGTGAAAAATGGTAATTTTAAACCAAAAGCTTTTAAATTTTGGTTTTCAAATGTAAAAGAGATTTTTTAGAAAACCGAATTAAAAAATTTAACATAGTATATAGCCAAACCCTAAGTACTGATTGATATCTTGGCTGATTTTTATCATATAATTCTTTTTTTCTGGGGGGGAGGAGACTAATTCAACTATTCAACTATATAAACTATTTTTAGCTCTGATTTTTTTTCCGTCCAGGAGGTGTACAAAAACATTGATTTAAAATTTCAGTTTCATATTTTTAATCTTTTAATAACAGAATTATGTGAATAAATTGTCATAATCTATGGTCATATTTGATTCTTTTCATAAACTGGAGTATTAGGTGTATAAAAAACTGATATTTGCTTTCTAAGCTTCTTTAAATAACCTATGTAAAATTCTACATAATGAAAAAAAAACATTATTATAATACATAATAAAAAATAAAGTAAGTAAAGAAATATACTACTGAATGAAGTATTAAAAATTTTTAATTACCCGATTCAGCAAAATGCAATAAAAATAAAAAATAATTGTTTAAATAATACATTATTGATCATAAAGATCTGAAATTATGGAACTTCTAACAAACGTGAATTTTGTAATAAAATTTCTTACAAATTTAAATGCGATCGTTCTTATGTAGAGATGAACCCATTTATAATGAAGTTGGTTTTAACAAATTTATCTATGACCTTTTACATTAAAAACCTTTTGTGTTTTTAATGTAAAAGGTCATAGATATCTCTTATAGTCTCTTGTATAGAAATTAAAAATGTCATCTCTTGTGTAGAAATTAAAAACCTTTTGTGTTTTTAATGTAAAGATCCCATGACCTTTTACATTAAAAACACAAAATTTGTTTCCCTTTAAGAAACATTTCTTAAGCCTCTGGACTGGTATAATTTTTTTTTGTTTATTCCTCTACATTCAAGTGGCAAGAAACATTACACATCTCTTGTGTAGAAATTAAGCAATAGTTTTTTTCTATCTTTGTTTTCTTCCTAGAATCTTCAAAGAATAGGGAATAAAACTGTTTCGGCTTCCTAAAGAGAAGCACGTTTGCACACTGTTATACTTTTACAGATAACACAGATTTTGTTTGAAGGATCATCACTTATGTTGGACCCTCTGAGGGTTATGACCGGCTTTATCCGGTCATCAGATTTTTGCTACTTAGCATACTATATTAGCTTATAATATAAGATATTTTGCTTTCTTACTTTCTCTAATAATGTAAATATCATCTTAATGAGTGTAGGTTTATGAAAATAAGACTAAAATAAGTAATTCTGCAAGCTCAATTAATAAATGCTGTTTAAATACCGGTATTCATGACAGATCTAAAGTCCTGCGCTGCTCTAAGGGTTAAATCATAGATGCCTCTTTCTGTTTCTCCCCCCTCCCCTCAAAAAATACCCTCATTTTGAGAGCTTTTAATTGGGTTCTCTCTCTACAAACTCACTGTCAAAACTTGTTCAGCTTCTTTCTCTACAAATCACTCGAGAAACTTTAAAGGATAGAGACTCGTTTGAAAGAAATAACTCTGTTTTCAAAAGATTTTTTATTCTAGATTAAGAGATTTTTATCATCTAAAAATTTGTATTCCCAAAATGGAGTTACAAAAATCTTTAGAATTTAAAGCACTTAATTTTCTCCTGAAATAGTAATAATAATAATAAAAGCAAGTCTTATTAGTAAATTGGGTGATTAAAAGATAAGTAGTTTTAGAAAGTGTAAAGTATGTTTCAATATTTTTATATTTATTTTATTGTTGTCACTATTTAGATACATTTTTACATAAAATTACAAAATATGATGAATTTTTGTCTCCATCCTTATCATTTCGATATAAACAGGCTCATTATATGCCACTACTTATCATTTCTACTGACCTTTGAAATTCTGTTAAACACAGTTTTATACTTTTTAATCTATTGAGCAGAAAAATAATTAAAATAATATTAAAACAAATTATATATGACTTTACCTTTCTCTAAAGGTATATATTTTAAAGCAATGATATATGAAAGGGAGAGGCGATGCTGCCACAATACACATTATAAAGTGACACATCAAAAACATTGTAGAAAATCATATTTAGTATAGTAAATTTTTTTATTATTCTTTTAAAAGTGGGCAAAGGTTTGGTCTCATAATTCATACAAATTTCAAGTTACTATAAACAGTAGATTTTTATTATAGCAATTTAAATTTATTGGATAGGTACTATTACTACTAATAATAATTATAATAAATTGGAATTAAAAATAATCACCCAAAATTAGTAATAACGTCATATAATGAGAATAAACTTAATCTGGAAGATTACCTTTTGACCTATTTGATAATGCAAAGATAAAAATCCTGAATTAATTTGAACACTAATGGAAGATGCAAGTGACAAATATGTAAAATGGCTTGAACATTGGATTAAAAAAATAAGTAAAGTTATTTAGATGTGGCAAAGCACACGACAGCCATCTGCCTAAATGGGAGGAATGCCACCATGACAGACCTTCTAAGGGAAAAAAGCGCGTATTCATATTGCACAAGGGAAGAAACGTTAAAAACACCCATGCGGTCTATCTGTTCACCTGAGTTCAAACCCTGGTTCAAATTACTGGTATTCTTGAATAGGCTACTATTAGATGTTGTTCCCTTATCATAAACACATACGTATGCAAAATTTCAAGAAAACAGTCTTAGCAGAAGTAACTCAAAACTTGATTAAAATATGATGCAGACATGTAAATGAGTAGAGGCAAACAGCTTAATTGTTGTTTGTAACGTTTCCCAGTGATGGCTTTGTAGGGCCGGAGTAGCTCATAATAGATCATTCCGAGCTGATCTCACCAGATGCACAGTATTAACTTCTTGTCATGGATATTCAGTTTGGCCGTTGAAGATTTTTGATGCTTAGCCCGGCTTACTCCACGATTTTCTGCTCTTTGGGTTGTCGTAGTAGATCCATTATTCGTCCCCCGTTACGATTCGATGCAAAACCCTCTTCCGATTTCGCTTTTGGAGCAGTTGTTCACACGTGAAAAAATGGCGTTCGACGTCTCTTGGCTTAAGTTCATACGGAACTAAATTTCCTTGTTTTTGCACCATACCCATGGCCTTGGGACGCTTTGAAATCTCTTGTTGAGTCACTCTCAAGGTTTCTGCGAGCTTCGCTTGAGTTTGGCATGAATCTTGGTCCAATAACCTCTTCAACTCATCGTCATCAAACTTTACTGGCCATACGTTTTTATTGATGGAGCCCCATTTGCATCACACAGCAATCGATGTCCATCAGCTGCACTTTTCTTCAAATTAAAACAAAAAAGAAGCTCTTCCCGCAAACTTTGTTAGTACAAAGGTTGACATGGGTTGAGCACAAAGAAAGTTTATTGTTTTCACTTCAACGAAATGAAAAAGACTGATTTTTAGAGGGAAATGCAAGTGCCTTAACATGAATATAGTTACAAAATTGCCCGATAGGATTTAATACAAGTAACGTCATCTTATGTAAATCTCTCAAAACTTATTTGTACACTCATAAAGGTAAATGAAATTTAAGCTTAGAACAGTAGGTATAGATTCTTGAAATTTTTGGGATCTAGTGCGTGTAAGTTATTAACCATCTAGAAATTTAGTTAGTGGGTAGTACATAATTATACATACTCAATAAAATGCTGAAGAGAAAAGTGTTTCATGAAAAAGTACAAATGGTTAAACATTATGTGAGATAATGAAAGGCAATCTAAAAAAGTGTAAACCTTAGTATTTCTATTACTAAACTGTTTGTCCATCAAGATTCCTGCAAGGAGTGTGACGTGCATGATGGTATGAAATCGTTCATAATGTACCAAGTTTTTGTAGCAATGTGAATTTAATTTTAAAAATTTAATTAGATGATCGTAAGGTTGTCTCATATTGTTAGATCTTAGAATCTAAAACCTTGATACTTTGATACTATTGTTATTATTCTGGCATACAGCGGGGAACTTCTGTCCTTGCTGTTTCCAGATTCCTGAGTGAATCACGGGTCTGACGTCTGAGGAAGTCCGTAAATAGTATCCTCCAGATGAGGTTTATGCTGAAGTGGGAAAAACGTTGAAGCCCATTGCTTTCTACAAGAAAATGCTAATACTGGACGGAGCTGTAGAAGGGGCTGTGGTCAGAAGTCTAATGTCATGAAAGGATGTGGCCTGCTAGCCAAAGTCGTTAAAGACCTTAGTTTGCAATTATTTAAGTACTGGTGGAGAAAATGTAATGCGCGTTGTGTTAATTATCCAGTTATTATGATTTTGATCTTTATTATGACCTTTTCCTCACCATAGAGCAAATTAGCTTTCAAATTATACAATCTGAGGATTTTAAATTGTAAAGACAGAGAATTTCTGGCACTCATGTTGTCCTGTTAGAATTTCGCCAGCTTTATCTAGAAGTACTTATCCTGGATTTTGCATTCTCGTGCAGCCTAGAATTTAAACTTAACGCTGGTGAAAGTAATTGAGTCAGCTTGTAGCTTACGTTATTGAATGTGTAATCTCTGATTATGTTGCCAAAGTTAATTTACTTGACTGTCAATGTTTAATATACATCCCCACAAGTTGTGGCTTTTTCCCGCAGCATAATTCACGCCTGTTATGTTAAAAGTTCAGATTAAATAAAAAGGTTATTTGTAGAAATTTATCATATTATTTCAGATACAGTGATAGCTCACTGAGAGCGCACAGAGTAGGAAGTGTTATACATTGCTAAGCACTCAGGCTATGAATCATTGCCATACAAAATGAAATTTATTATATGAATGTCAAACTCAAAAATTTCAGAAAACCAAGATAGTTTGCTTTCCAATCCTATTTTGAGAGCATGCAGTAGAAATTTTGACTGCTAGTGCATCCCTGAATCCATGTGAATCATGTGATACTCCAAACCTTGAGATTTTTTAACATGAAATAAGACATCAGAATTGGCAGTTATGTGCTTGACGTGCACTTCATCTCGATCGTACTTGTGCTTAGCTTTGAATCCTTATTACTTGCAAACATACGTAATATGACAACACAATCAATGAAGGATCAATCATGATGCCATGAACTCGCAACAGTTTCATGGCATCATGATAACTGGGGATCATTGATGGCGTTCATGGTACAGTTAATGTGTTGAAAAAGAACTGTTTACTTAAGAAGACAAAAGAAATCATATTTCTTGATTAAATATCCTTAACACTGAAAAAAAAATACAAAAGTTCAGTCTGTATAATAGTGCTTAAAAATACATAAAGTATAAATTAATGTTACTCAAATGTATTTTAACCGAAAGTTTCTTATATTAAGGAAACGTTAAGAACAAATTTTTATAATCAAATAATTCTAGCAAACAATACTACTTTTAATACATACATTAGGAATTATTAGATAGTTTTACATAGCTTTTAAATAGTATAAATAGCTCTTTAAAATTCAAATTTTTATTAAATACATATTATATAAAGTTCACAACAGAATTCTTTAGTTTTGGTATTGCATGGAGTGTTTATATTAAAAAAGAAATCTTTCTTACCAGGTAAGATATGCATATATCTATTTTTCTCTTGATTTTCCAACAAATAAGCAGCTTGCATATCTTTGTACAATAAATGCGGACATAATTCATTTAGCATCTACGGAAAAATATAGGGAATCGTTAAATGATGGACAGAAACTTATCTTTTCCCGTGAGGGGAGCGGGAGCTGTTGAATTTAAATCAAGCAAATTGTAACATGTCATTAAAATTAATCTAATAATAATCATATTTACAATTTAAATTCTTTTTATAAAATATCATTTGCTATCCATATATTTTGCATATTATTTGATTTAAAGAACTATGATGTTTTTAACAATAACAGTATTAATTTATATATAAGTTTGTTAGCACCAGATAGGCTATTAGTCTCGATCACCACTTCTGTGTCTTTATCACTTTTCGAATCAAAAGCTCATTATATATACACATGCAGAAATTGGTCACCCCTATGCTATAAAATAGCGAATACAATTGATGTTATTGTAAATTTTCATCAATATTTAAATTCTATTAATGACATTTATTATGCTTCTCGAGAATGGATGCTTAAGACATTAAAACATTTTTATTATCAAATGCTTACCTTTCAGATGATGATAATGATGACTCTATTACGTTTATAACTTATCCTCAATTTGTATCACTTTTAAAATATCACTAATAACTTATCCTCACTTTTGCAGTGTATTACTTAGTACATAACTCATGCACGCTTATAATGCTAAAGAAACCATGTTTTTTAATGTTTCCTTTTCAGATAATAATGTATATCGCTTATAATGCTAATATGTAATACGCACGCAGACACGCACATATATGTACATATATATCCACTGGTGTGACTTTAAAATCTGAATCTTTTGACTTTTCTTGCTTGTTCTCATTAATTTTATTTATTAATTTTTTAATTGAATATAATGCTGTTAAATAATTTAAGCATTAATGAGAAAATTAAAATATTTACGTTTTTCACTTGAAACAAAAATTTTAAATGAAAAATAAAGAACCAGAAATACATAGTACAAAGTCTGAAATCAAGACTTATCAGGACTTCAGGCATTTTGGATTTGGGACTTTTCTAGATATAAGATCATCAGGTTAAATCTAGTAAGATGATATGTAGAAGTTATAAATTTAAAAATATGAAATAGTGGTTTATGAAATAATGAAGCATTTATGATCTCAAGGAAATCAAAATTTACAGAGAAAGCTGAATATTTATTTCTTTGCTTTATTAAGCATTTTTCTTTCAATCTAAGTTGATTAAGTTGCTTCATTTTTTATGCTTATATTTTATAGATAGGCATAATTTTTTTCTCAGTTACAATGTTCCACTGTTCAAGTTTTGTAACTGCGTGTCGAGAATTCCTACTAAATTGTCAATCAAGATGTTTTTATTCTCAAATAACCAATCTGTTATTTTCTTCACTATTGGTAATATTTTTTGAATTTAGAACTAAACAGATTTCTCCACTCATTAGTTGACTTATGGTTGGGGCATTATTATTGCAATAAAAAAAAATTCTGTTACATAATCTTCATTTACTACAAGCTCTTCGCATATTCCATTAACTGGAAAATTTCACTTTTTGTTTGCGATATCCAAAAATTTTCAAATTTACAGCTGACATCATTATCAAGCTTAACTAGCATCTGCTATACACTATTGGTGATGTATCATGAGATTGGCAACTAGAGACACGTTATTCACTGAATTTTTCTCTTGCTTCTATTGTGTGCTGTGGAAGTCAGGCCAGAATTACATTAGTTGTTTATTATACGTTATTGTTTCTTGCACGTGCTTAAGGCTTATCTGAGTCCTAAATAAAAACATTCCTACATATACTCAAGGGTTATCTGAACAACAACAAACCAGTTGTTATTAATTCAAAACAGTACAAAAGGTAATCTTTAGCCTATGAATATCATTAACAAAATCTACTTTTTGTATACGGAAAGAAATTTCTGTTAAATTTCTCCTCGTCAGCACACTCAACACTTTTCAGTACAGTTAGCTGAAGTCTATAATCATTACCATTCTCTCATCATCAAGTTAACATAAAATGTTATCCTGCTGTTTGGTAGTTAATGAGTAATATTTTAAAAATGCTTTACATATCACTGTGTGAGTAATTTTTTCCTGTGCCACATGTTGATAGCTATGCGGGGGTGAAAGCAAAATACACTGGTGAAGTAAATTAAGAGAATTTGCATGTTTTATCGAATTGCATGAAAAGAACTGAACTGAAGGAAAAACCACTGCTTCTAGATAAAAATGCAAATCTTGCACGGCCAATACGTAAGCATACACGTGTGCGTAGGCGAAGCCAGCAGAAAAACAGGCTTATAAGCGCGTGTAGGGTAAGACGAATTGCGTTCGCTAGCCCATCTCGGCGAATTTCTTGGTGTTATCTTGCAGCACTCGGTTAAATTCTCATCGGGACAGTAAAAATGAGTAACCACCAACGTTTAGATGATGGAATGAGGTGGCGAATTGTGGGGAGGCTAGAGGCAGGCCATTTGCAAATCCAGATATGCAGAGAAGTTTAATTTACGCCCAGTGTAACCTATGGAAACTGTTCCAGAAACTGAATCCATCGAGAGAAAGTCTAAACAAGGTCGTCCAAGAGCCACAACGGCCAGAGAAGATCTATATTTCTCCATTTTAGCAAAGCGTAACAGAGAGGCTCTCTCGAGATTTGTAAAGCAGCCACAGGGCCACGTGTAACAAGGGTGACTGTTTCCAAAAAACTGAATGAGAGAGGGTTGTTTGCCAGAAGATCGGCTGTTTGCGTCTCGCTCACGTCTACGGACAGGAGAGTCCGATTAGCATGGAGCAGGCAGCATAGTGATTGGAATACGGAGCAATGGGTGACCGTTCTGTTCACCGACGAATCCCGTTTTAGCCTAAACACCGATTCTTGCCGTACTTACATATGGAGAGAGCCAGGGGCACACTACCTACCCTCCAATGTCCGCGAAATCAACAATTATAGCGGTGGCGGTGTAATTGTCTGGGCAGGCATCATGTTGGATGGCCGCACACCTCTCCACGTCTCTGACAGAGGTTGTGTGACTGGTGTGAGGTATAGGGATGAGGATATTGGAGCCCTATGTTCGCCTTTTCCGGAGTGCAGTGGGTTCCGAGTTCATCTTAAGAACGATATCGCGAGGCCACTTAGAGCTCTTCTGATCGACGAATTTGTCGGGAGTGAGGATATTCGCCGGATGGATTGGCCAGCCAGGTCTCCAGACCTCAACTCTGGGGAGGGCAATTGTAACTCGCAACCCCCTCTGATAACCATCCAGGAATTAAAAACAGCGGGGCTGAATGAGTGGGACCAATTGCCACAGGCACTGATACAGGCCACAGGCCTTATTTCCAGTATGACATCACGCTGAGAGAATTGTATGGCTGTAAGAGGGGACCATACCCCTATTAACCCCTTTCTTTTGTGTCTTCTGCAACCGCTGTTTCAGACCTTCAGACTCCCATGAGTGTTACACGCGAACATGTGTGTAACACTCATGAGACTCTATTATAACTGTTGAATGTTTATTTTGTTTGTATTGTGGTGTAGTGGCCGAAACCGCTACGCAAACCCTGGGTTGTGACACAGGGTTGAAATGCACTTCTAACTCAATTTTTAACAATAACATGAATTTTAATAAGATGAAAACCTTAACAGTTGCATATCTTGACAGTATGGGACTTGGACATATTTTGTCCTGTAATTTCAGAATTTTTTTACAGGAAAAATGCTCCAACGCATTTATACACGAGGAATGATCGTTCTTAGCAGGCCAACATGCACATAGCTCTAAATAGGAAAGTTTTTCTTTCTTCTCAGGAAACCACCTTATATATCTCCCTGTGTTTTCTTGCGCTGAACTCTCAGGGGGAGGGGGAATGATTCTTTCACTCATACAAAGCAAAGTGTCCATCTCCTGACCCTGATGAAAAGACTTTTTTATCTCTTTGTCCAACTGGAGTAACCTTTGAGGATGCAACCGGAATCATTAACAAAGGCACAGGATTTCACCACTGATGAAAATTATTGCACTCTGAAATCACTCATCCCAGACAAAGAACCTTTATGGCACCTTATCACAGTATTATATCAACCTATGTTCACACCAAATTTTATTAAAAACTGTCCCGTAGTTCTGGAGATCGGAGATCAAATATGAAAATTTTCTTAATTTATTTCACCAGCGTATAATAATGATGATACATTCCTTTGGCGTCAGGGGGATATAAATCATTCAGTAGGTGTAAAATTAATGATTTTCCGATGTGGAATATTTGAATTTGAGACGTATGTCAAACAAAAAGGCGGATACGAAGCTAAATTATTGATTATACAAATTTATGATAATAAATGATTGTTTCTTCAATATGGGGATATTTTATTTAATGTCAAAATGAAATTAAGAATCAGGAGTATTATGAAAAAATATCAAATGAGCATTTTTTTTAAAAGTTCAGTAGCCTGAAAGTGTAGATTTTAGATCATTCAGGATATTGGATGTCTGGCCTTTGTACTGTATTAAATTTATATTTTTGATATTTTTAAATAATATGCATGTGAATTGCTACAAAAATGTATTAAAATTTATTTTATTTTGTTAAAATGTGCATAAGTGCAATTTTGTTTTTAAAATGAAACTATGACTTTAAAAACTAACTTCCAAATGATGATTAGTTTCCCTTCCTTTGAGAGTTACTTGAAAATACAAGATCAAGCATTTTCAATCATAAAAAAATAAACAAAAACATTTGAAACATATTTTAATGCATACAAATGTTTACTTAAATGACAAAAAATTTAAATAATAAGTGAAAACTATTTTTAATATATTTCTCCTTCATTTCCTGTTTCAATACAACCCACTTGAAATATGAGCTAAAATTTTCTCTTCTTCAAAATTTTCAGTTTATGTGGCTATGTTCACTATATATACAGCTAGTAAACTAACATTTGTTCATAAAAGTATCTCATAGAATTCATGAATATCTTCTTAAGATGCTTTAAAAAACAATATTTCAAAAAAGTTCTGCTCTGGAAGTTAATAAACTTGAAAAGGCCTAAGGTGCTATTTAAATGCTTTTCTTCTTGGTAAATGAAATACACATTTGTCCATAAACTGCTTATGTTTTAAATTGTTTGAGATACACGATATCTCGTTTGAGATAGTACGACAGAAGTTTCAATTATTTATTACTAGAAATAATTTTTGTGATACTATTTAGCAGTCTTTCTCAAAATTGTCATGTTATTCTTATGCATGTAGCTTTGAGTTACATTTTACCTGTACCTCAGCTTTTCAAGTCATAGCTTTTAGTCATATTTTATTGTTATTAATGAGGAAAAGACTTACCTTTATATTAATTACATGAAATTTTCAAGATATTTCAATTTTTCCGAAAACAAAAAGCACATTTGATTATTTTAAGAAAGAAGTTTTTGATTTAAATACCTGAAATTGTTTCTGAAGATGTAAATTTATTTTTTCATTTTGTAATGAATTTCTGTATTCATTTTTAAAAACATCACATTTGATGGAAGTTTGTCCAATGCACAATTCTTCAACTAACGCATAATGCACAAATAAATATTGATCCTGCAAATTAAAAGGAATCAAATGAGTTCATTTAATAAACTGAAATAAAATGCCAGTACATATTATGAATCACACTGAACCAAATGCTTCTTACCAAACTATAATTATGAACAATTTATCTTTTACAATGAAATTGACCTTAAAAATCACATCGAACATCATTTTTGGATAGGAAAAGCTTTGTTATTGAAGCACAAACAAACAAAAAAAAAAAAAAAAAAAAAAAAAAACACGTTATGTTATACATTCAATTATGAGGTTATTATTATTATAATTAGTTATACTACTACCCTATAAAACTGCCATATCAAACAAAGCTTAGGAATAGAGAGGGAAAATATTATTGTCTTGATGATCAAGGATTGATGGCTAGACATAAGTTGCAACATAGGTAAATGAAATCTTTACATCAAATCATCCAGTAAGTTTAAAGGGAGCTTTACTTTCTAATATGAATGACCTTTCCTTCTTTTACTATAAATTGCGTTATATCATGCATTTTTTTAAATTGTCGGACACTTCTTCAAAAGCATCATTCAAATTAAGCATCCTATCACTGAGAACATTGGCCAGAATATAATGCAAATTGTACATCAGTTATCAGTATTAAACTGCAAGAGGTGTGAAAGACATACATATACAAACCTTATATAGGAGTCAAACCACTTAACCAAGCCACTTAACCTAATCTGTGAAGTCCACAAGACAACATAACTTTCTTCTTACATTCTTATGCATTTGATTGACTTAAGTGATTTTAAAAGCTACTCTCCTCATTGAGAATAAATATTTCTTGAGAATCATAGATTTGCTTCTTTTCCAATACATTTATAAAACATGATTTTGAACTCACTTATCCTCATTTTTAGTTACAACTTGTCTAAAATAATACCAACATTTAAGCATACATCTTTTTTCTATACATTATATACATTTAAGCAGGTCAATAAAATTTATTCATGTCTGTCATTATCTTTCTTATTAAATCTATGCCATTAAATTCTGAATGACTGCTGCATTCCGGTAGCAGAGGAGGTTACAGTTCAAGAATAAATGGTTTATAGTGTTCTTTTTTTCTCTCTTTCATCAAACGGTTTCCTTGACATTTGTTATGATCTTAGCTCTGTCAGATTTTTTAGCCTTTTTATATTTCTTTTTAGAAGAATTAAAACTAATATAGTGCTGCATTAATAAAGGAAGATGAAACTACTGTATATTTCACATATTAAAGAATATAATTACTTCAGCTGAAGAAATTGGAAACGATTCCAATTTAAATTAAATTTTTTTCTTCTTTAAATTAATAACTTACATAAAACATTACGAATACACGAATTAAAATAAAAGAAACAGTCAGCTGTAGTTTTAATAAAATAGTTATGATTAAATTTTAAACTAATAATTTACAGAACATAATCTGCTATGGTATTATTTCTGCAATGCTATATTATGCATGGCGTTATAATTCATAATAATAACATTAATTATAAAAATTGAAACATCTCCAGATTAGATTAAAATTAATATAATCCAATAATTTTCATACAAATAATATTATGATACATACAATTTTAATTTAAATAGAATAAAGAGATTAACTTGATTTATACCCAGAGATTACCTTGAATTGCAGGTCCAAGGCACAACATGTTTTAATGATTCAAGGTACGAGTACAAGAGTGTTCATAATATGTTAGGTTTTAAACACAAAACGAACTTTCAGGAACTCAGAGCTATGTTACTTCAAATAAAGGTTTTGCTACAAAAATTAACTATTATTCCTCTAAAAAATTTTAAATCACAACAGAAAATACCTATTTCAGATGCATTAAAATAAGATTCCTTCACTACTAAACAATATTTGTCAAAGATAAAGTACAATAACTTCTCGAATGAGTCTTCCAAAGTAGCAGTTTTCGGGTTACATGCTAGTACAAAAGTACAAAATCAGATCATTGACTTCTCTATTTATTATAATTTAGGAAATATATTAGCAAATGACTAATAGAAAAATTTCAATAGATGTATTAATAAAAAGCATACAGTAAATATAAATTATCTTACAAAATTTTCCACAATATTCATACGCTGCCGTCTCATAGCACATAATTGTTCTAAAGGATCAACATGATTTTCCTTCTGACCCATTTCAATCATGCTGTCTAACAGTATGATAGTTCCTGTACGCCCAATACCTGCACTGTAAATGAAATTACGATTTGAGTCATTTTATGAAGTTAAATACATAATAACTGAAATCTGATATAATTTTAAATTGGTAATAACAACTTTATAACTGAAAACAAAATTAGAAATCATATAAATAAAATTCTTCAAAATACTACTCCTGGTAATTTCTTTTTACATGAAAATTTTGATATTATTCTTTTTGATTTTTAAGCAAATTAAGCCAACTAATGTGATTACATATTTGATCTGTATTAAATGGCCATTAACACAGAGTAGACATGTAACCACATTAGTTAGCTTAATATATGGCAACAAAAGCAGGCAACTGACCGTTTCTTCCAGATTAACAAGTTTAAAATATGCTTCAACTAACAAAAACTGGATTGTAAATAGATTTAAAAATAAATTACAGACAAATGCTGGAGATGACAATGTCTTCTAACAGTTATACCACATATACATAGCAATGGAATGCAAAAGATTGTACTTCAGTAATGAAGGTCTGTTAGAAATCAGAATTTATTTTCTATTTGGGTAACCTTCATGTAAACTAAAAAGTACGTAAAAGCAAGTTATTATAATAAAATTTTTTTACTACATTTATTCACCCTACATCTTTTCTTCTAACTGTAGTTTTAAACCATGCCTCATAAAAGCTTAATTTTTTAAGCAGGAGGAGTTTAAAGACATATGAATAAGAATTATGAATTTTAATTTGCCATGATATTTGTGTGTGTGTGTGTGTGCGTTTACATTACTATGGCATTTGAATTTGAATGCTTGAAATGACACAACTAAAGTCAACTCTACATAAAGCCTTTTTATGGTAAAGCTCATTACTATGTAATAGTACTTCTTTTGCATATGATATAATGATTTGACATTATTTCTTGCAGAAAACACTATGCGCCGCATATTAAACTCACTGGCTAATAAAATCAGCCGCTTATTACATTTAAATTTCCTAGACACAAACAAATATATACTAATCGATAAAAAAAAAACATCGTTTATTTAACTGATCTCTGTCGCTTATAAAACTCAGACAGACCCCCCCCCGAAAAAAAAAGAATAAAAACAATTGTTATTCAATACCAGAATATGCTGCTTGTACCTATCAAAGACGTTTGTAGTTTATCGATTTCACTTATCATGGGCCACGACTTATTTATCATTCAGGTATGTCATGCTTCTATAAAAATAGTTGACCAAAATTCTTCTATCTTGTATCTGTGAGCTTTTTTCACATTGGTATTCAGAGATGTAGAATTAAGGTTAACCAAAAACAGTCCTCCAGGGGCATTGTAAATAAGTATGTGTTCTTTTTCAAAAACCAACTCATAAGAGGTGCAACTTGAGCATTCCATCTTTTAAGGTTTACACCTTCAGAATCTTCCGTTTGGAATACATACATTATGTTCACGGAGAGGTTTAAAAAAAAATCATGAAAGGCTTTCTAGTATTGCCATAGAGTAACAGTCTAAATGGAAAGAGAGGGATAACTATAGGCTGAAGAAAAAGAAAAGAAAGTCATGTATCACGAAGTGGCTGATTGAATTGACAGTGCAAGCTTTATGCTGGCTAGAAACAACTGGAAGAAGCAATTTAAAAATTTTTTGCGTGCTTAACCTACCACATGTGGAAAATGACCAAGCAAAAAGAGTTAAACTTGAAGGAAAAGGAATAATTATTAAAAGATCTTGATGTTCTGGGTAAGTGCAGCCAGAGGAAAATTGAAATTAATTGAGAAATTTCCCAAACATTGTGCAGTTTACTTGAACAAAGAATTATAATTGATGAACTAATAAAATCTACAGATATCTCAAGGAAGTCCCCCAAAAAAGAGATATAAAATCGAGAGATGTTGAAATTACTCTTCTAGAATGGTTTCATGCCACAAAACTAACTTAAAAAATGTACCTATTTCTAGAGCTGTTTTCACTATAAATGCTGTGGAATTCGCTAAAATGTCAGATTATAAGATATTTTGTATCAACTGACTGATAGCTCAAAGTTTGAAAAGAGCAGAGATGGCTTAATCCCTAGCAGCCGCAAGGGGTCTTGAGCTCCGGAGTGGCTAAATGAATACTCTGTGATTTGGAAATATAAGCTTTATATATTCAATCATCATTTTTTACTAAAATTATCTTGATAACATAATATATTCATCAATACATTTTACTTAAAAGTAACAAATCTAAAATTATAATGGCATTTTAAATTTCGTCACATTCTCTTACTTGTTTTCTTACTTAGATATATAGTATACTGAAACTTTTTTAAAACGGCCACCTGAAATTCCAAGCAATTTTGCGCTCCCATACAGGTGATGGCCTTAGGAAAAATGACTACCATTGGCGTACTTAGTTTGTTTTCCGTGAAATATTGCTCAATTTCAGAGGCTATTATGAAAGTGGCCGAAGCCGTTTCTTTATAAGAAATGATTTCACAAGGCTTTCAAAGTTGGACCTCTGACTCTCTAACTTTGCTATCATCTCGGCTGAGGCCGTACGTAGATTTTGTTGGATAAATCCAAGTAAATTTAGTAAACGTGACAACTACTACTAATATGTGCTTGTAGTTTTTATGGGTACTTTCCATAGGACACAAGTAATCTGCGTGATATGTATGCAACGCAATGTCCTCTTTGAATCGTGGATATAAAAATCCTTCCTTTTTTCTAGCTTTGCGATTTATTAACATGAAATGAACTCAATTAGCGATAACGTTTTCTATACCAGTATGATATTCTATACCAGCTTGATACCAGTATGTCCTTCCACATGGGCATCTTTTTATGACTTCAGACTGCATACGTTTTGGTACGACTATATATTTCTGGTGCTTTCTGGTTTCTTTGCTATCAATAAACTTGTATAATATCTATTACAGTAATTTTCATAACTTGAGGTTTTCAATAATTCCTCAATGGTTTTTGTTTCAGTGTCATTTTCTTGGGCATGTTTTAATTTAGGTAGGTTGTTTTTAACAGAAACACATACCACGTTTATAGAAGCTCTATTCAAGGCATCCACATGTGGCATTTTTACATCCTTACGATGCTCTATAACATAATCGCATTCCTGTAACAACAGAGCCCAACGAGCAACATGTGTCGCTAAGTCTCCTTTTTCCATCTTCGGTTGAAATGCTGAACAGTCCATCGCTATCTTAAATGAAATTCCCAAAAGGTAAACACGAAACGTTTTCAGTGCTTCTACGATTACGAGGACCTCCAACTCGTAACTTGAATGAATACGTTTTTCTCTGCGTCAGAGGCTTTCCCGCTTATAAAAAGAGGGGTGACAATTGCTGTGACCTGGGCGTTTGCATGAATTGCGAATGAATTGCGAATACAAGCTTTTCAGCTAATGCTGACATCAAACGAGTGAATGCGATCCTTTATTCTTCACTGAATTCGAACTTATTGCTCCTTTTTAGTTTTTAGCTGGTCGCTAAGCGGCTTGGAAATTATAGAGTACTTAGGAATTAATTTTATGAAATACTCTGTCAACATGAGAAAACTTTGGATCTGCTTTAAATTAAATGGTTGAGGGAAATTTAGAACAGCTTGCGTCTTCAAGGTGGAGGGGAAAATTTTATCCCCTTGGATGACATGGCTGTGAAAGGTTTCTAAATGTTTTGTTTGAGAGCATCACTAAAGATCATTCACTGATAAGCAGTCAATGAATCATTAGACAGTAAACAAGTTTCTTAACTTTTTAATGAAGTTTGGTGGCATTATACACAGAAGTCGTAAATGATTCTATAAATCATATTGCTGCTGTGTGGATGCAACATTTTAAACGACGATTGCTGTCTTCAGTATTTGGATGCATTGCTTCAATGCAGGTTGAATGTATGTTATATATGGTTTTGTTAATGTTTATTTTATGAAAACATTTATTAGTATTCAGTACTATTTGTTAAATAGGTAAGCATAAGAGTTTATATAAATAATGTTTGAATATCTTTCACAAATGAGATAACATTTCTGTTTAAAAATAGTTTAAAATATGAAAGCTGCATAATACATTATATTATGGATCCCGCGAACGGGTTGGCTGCATGGGGGCTTCGTGGTTTCCCCCATGTGTAACATGTCAGCTTCCCTTAGAAAGTTCTCCCTTTAGGCATTCTCAAATTCCTCCCTTTAGGCAGATAGCCCTCGAAGCTTTGCCGTAATTACATAAACCAAACCAAACCGTCATATTATGGAGCTTAATCATTAAGTTCCATAATACACCATAATATTATTAAGCTGCATAATACATCATATTATGGAGCTTAATTATAATTAAAAAATTACCTTACTTTGCAAAAAAATAAATATTTCTCAATTTTAAGTTAAATGTTCTTTCAGTTTAACTTTGATTAAGATTACGAAAATATCCTTTCTGATATTAATATTTTTATTTTAGGTAAAATTCAACCCGGAATAAAAAAAATAAACTGGAAAAAATGAACCTAGTTATTTCTAGTTTATACTTCACATTACATTAATGTAATCCTTGCCAAAGGGACATATAAAGAAACAAAAATGTGTTTCTAAATAATATTTTGCGTCAAGTTTACTAATGTTAATACTAATAAAAATAGTTAAACAAATGGTGCTTTGAAAGGGATATGTTATGTTGCTGCACATTTCTTTAAAAAATTTTCTTTTATTAAAAATTTTCATCAAAATAAAATGTAATAATAGCGATAAAAGTCTGTAGTAATTGCCACTGTATATATCAGAATTTCCCAATTAAATTCATAACGTATGGACCCTTTATATTTTGAAAAACGCACCATAACTCATTAAGTGTTTTTAATATGGCGCATTAGAAGATAATCCATCGTAGGGAACAAATTCTTCTGATTCTGGATCAAAATGAAAATATTAAACTTTTAATTTGAAAGTTTAATATTTTCAAAGAAAATTGAACTGCTGTTTTATGCTTTTTCCTTCCTACATTTAGAAATACAATCAACTTGTACTTGAAGCTTAAATGTCATAATTTTAAT